TATATATATATATATATATATATATATGTGGGAAAATAGGCGACGGAAATGGTGTGTGAATGAGGAGGGTAAAAGAAAAAGGGGATGGGGGCTGTACGCGTATCGCCCCATTGGAACATATAACGTTTATATTGTTTGTATTTGTGTATTTGCCTTTGTGTATCGGCTGTGTTTGCCGCGTTCGCTGTTTTGGTTTTTGTTCGTAGCAAAAAAATTGGGTAGAGAAAAAAGTCCTTTCTAAAATTTTCTTTTGATTTATAAACTTTGTTTGTCGATGACGTTTTACTTTGTTTTTAGTGTTGCTGCTGTTGTTCTGTTCCGTTTTGGAGGAGCAAATTTTTAAGTTTTATGGTTTTTTTTTTCTGTTGGAGGCGGTTTGTTTTGTTGGAAGGATTACTTACTGCTGATTTCACAATCTTGTGTACATTTTGTTTATTTTTTGGTTGTTCATTTAACTTATCCTATTCTTTGCATAGATCAGTTACTTTTATTTTTCCACTTCTCGTAAACACACACTGTTTCTATGTCTGGGTGCTTTTTTTTCTGTATTGTTGGAATAGATGGGTATTTGTTTACCGTTTTATGTAAGAGCTGGAAAATTTTTTCTTTTACTTTTCTTTATTCTGGTCTTCATCGTATGGCACAAAGATAAAAAGAGGATAAAAAATTGATGGTGATGGGCATTTGTTTAGTGGGGCGAGGGATGAAGGACGTGAAGATGCATATACATACGACCAAACGCACATCGCCAGCAGATTGGTAGAAGATGGGTTTTCTGCATACGAACTTGCGAAGCGTTTTAGACGAGTGACAACAGCGTCTTTGTAAGCATAGTGTTTATGTGCATAAATAATGTTGTGCTGGTTGAGGTCACTGAAAGCTAAAAGGGTGTTAGTTAAAATGTGCTGGTTTCTGACTGGATATATCTGAACGAAATGATTACGGTCACAACTATACACTTATGGACAATTATGGACAGCAACGGTAAGCGAGTAGTTTCGGGGAAGAAGCGTTGTATCAGGGTGGACGAGGGGTGGAGCGACGGTGTACGGGAAGTAGGAGGCGGGTACCTTTTGTGCGTAATAGTGCGAACGAGTAAAGCGGCGAAGAGGGATTGGATGCTACTATTGGCCATTGTAGTTGCAGCGACAGCATTTAGAGGGGAAGTAGATGTATTGATCGAAAATTATTGACCGAAAAGGGGGTGGACGCGCATGTTTTGTGTTATGTGTGTGTTGGTGCTATTGTTATTTGTTTGTTGTTTTTGTTGTCGTTGTTGCTGTGATGATGATTGGTCGTGTCTGTGGTGGCTGATGCATTATCTGTTGCAGTCGCTGCTGCTGTTATACCCTCTCGTTTGGCTTGTTGATGCGTAGCCGTAGGGTTGTTCAGTTTTTGCGCGCGCGCACACAGCCGTCCGCAGTCGCAGCGACGGCCATCGCTGCGGTCATGTGTGCGATGTTGGATGCATTGTCGGCAATAGTTTCATATAACCCGCTACGTATTCACAGCGTCTTGTTGTACTTAATTTCTTTCATTTGTATATTTTAATGATTTCTGTTTGTGTGAGTGGTGAATATTTTGATTTACGCAAATTGGAAGTCGTCGTAGTTGTTCTTTACCTTTTTTTTTTTTTTTTTTTTTTTTTTTTTTT